TTAATCGCATTTATACCCCGCCCTTCTCCTAGTGGACTCAGGGCGGCTTACAGCCAGTTTAAAACAGAATAACAATACAATATACAAATTTAAAATGTGGTTAAAATAAAATATTAATATAGGCCTTTCTTTTATTTTAAAATTATTTAAAAACCAAATTTAAAATACCCCTTAGGCCAGTCCTGCCAGCTGAAATAACTCAAAGTGTCAAATTTACTTAATTCTCTTTTCTCCTCCTATTTTCCCCACAACAATCCTACGAGGTGGATTGGACTGAGAGAGATAGAGGGACTGGCCCCAAATCATCCAGCTGGGGTTTTTTCATGCTTAAGGCAGCACTAGAATTCACAGTCTCCTGGTAATTGGCCCAAAGTCATCCAGGCAGCTCTCATTCCTAAGGCGGGACTAGAACTCACAGTCTCCAGGTGATAGATCCAAAGTCACCCAGCCAGTTTTCATGCTTAAAGCAGGACTAGAAATCACAGTCTCCTGGTTTCTAGCCTACTGCCTTAACTCCTAGACCAGGGGTGGGCAATTATGGCTCCTTTACGACCGGTGGTCTTCAATTCCCAGAATCCCTGAGCCAGCCAAGCTGGCTCAGGAATTCTGGGAGTTGAAGTCTACAGCCTTGCCTGGGTCGCACTGAGTGAAGAGGAATTATCTTGGGCTGCATATAAAATACATAATATAGTTAATGTATATAGATAACACACTTCCTAAATGTTTAAATATTTTTATTATATTATTAGTTCTTCAGGACTGCATGTGGCCCATGGGCCGCAGGTTGGACACACCTGGTATAAACCTTAGTAGGACCAAAGTATCAACATTTTTATACCTATTTTGAGATTCACCTGAAGGGCGTAAAACTCTTACTCACCTGGCTATGTTTAAAACAGCTGGAACAGAGTGTAAGTCAGGACAAACCAGTCCAGCAGTTTGTGACCTGGCCGGTTTTAGAACCCACCAATCATCCATATCAAATTTCTCAGCACATTTTCTGGTGTCCTCAGCTTGCCTAGCTTGTTGTCAAGCAATTGAGATGTTCTCGTTGTTAATTCTGGCACAATGCCTTTTTCTCCAGGCTTCAGAGTTGGGGATGACATCTGCCTTCTACAAGTACATCCTGACAACCATGGTTAGTATCTTGACCAAGCTGAGCTTGTGAACAGAATCTGATCCCATTTTTGACTCCTCAAAAGAGCTAGGATTCATGGTTTCTATGCAGAAGAGTCCTGGCTGGTCTGGTCTCATTATTAAGTACGCTATTCTTAACATTCGTCCTGTTTGCCATCGTTCGCTCCCTAGAGACTAAAATGGAAGATCTGTAACTTGAGCTGGCCACGAACAAGGAGTGTATATCGGAGGTGGTGACCCTTTGAGAGCTGTATGCAACGAAATTTCATTTTGATGTATGCCGATTGGTGTACTTTCAAAGTGGCAATAAAATTATTATTATTCTTACATTTGGCTAAGACTAGCCCTGATTCCAGGTTCAACAACAGCCCTTTTTCATTCCGTGGCTAAGAATTGCCATGGTTTAGCAAAGCTTCCATTGCTTAATTCAGAGCTTCTCAACCCTGGCAGCTTTTAAGACATGTGGACTTCAACTCCCAGAATTCCCCAGCCAGCCTGCAACTTTAAGATGCTAAAGGTTGAGAAACACTGACTTAGGTGACAGCTCCCACAATTCCTGGCCAGTACAATGAACAAACCAGAATGCTGGGAATTGTTACCCCAATCCATCTGGAGCAGAGTTTCTCAATCACGGCCACTTTAAGATATCAGGACCTCAACTCCCAGAATTCTGCATGCTGGCTGGGGAATTCTGGGAGCTGAAGTCGACACGTCTTAAAGCTACCAAGGTTTACGCTAACACTGGCTTAATGTAAAAAAAAAAAAAAAAAGCTAGGTAGCTACAGCAGTATATCTTCCCTCTTCAAACTTCAATATCAGACTGCTTCCTATGGGGTAGGGTCTCTTAAAAAAAAATCTGGATTGATGCTTATTTTTCACCGCTTCCTCAATATTAAAGAGAGTGCATTGCCCATATTAAATTTCAAGAGTATAAAGGTTGTACCTCCTAGCACAGTGGTTCTCAATCTTTTTAATGCTGCGACCCCAACCGGTTGTACGACGAGGACTAAACCTTTCTAGATAGGGAAGCAGCCCTGTAAGTCGAGGACTAAACCGGTCGTAAGTCAAGGACTACCCAACTGGTCATAAGTCGAGGACTTTCCCTGCCCGGGAGCGCCGCACATGCGTGGTTCCGCCCCCTGCACCGGCCAAGGCGTAGCTGGCAAGTGGCAGAGACGGAGCAGGCCGACCACCAGCTGGCCCAGCCCAAGGGAGGTAAGGCACCCGCCAGAAAAGGGGAAAAAAATGGCAGACAAAAAAAATGGCAGACAAAAAAAATGGCGGACAGCCTTGCTTGGCGACCCCCGTGAAATGGTCAATTGACCCCAAATGGGGTCCCGACCCACAGGTTGAGAACCACTGTCCTAGCAACTCCTTAAAGCAGCTGCCTCTTTTTCTAGACTCTTCCCACGAAAAGACACAGCTGCTTTAAGGAGTTGCAGACTGACGCTCTGTTCGTGCCCTGTGTGTTCCTAAGCATCTTTGGGAATTGCATCTGAAGGGCTGCGTGGCTCTACTTAGCATTGCAAAACGACAACTCTAAAAGGTTTCCAAGACTCATTGCTTCAGGGCAGTGTGTCAGAGGAGAATGTATAAGCTCCGGGCGGCTTGCAGTTAAGGCTGTTAAGCAGACTGGAACAACCAGCCTGAATTATAACGTGTGGTCAAAACACAGGTGCCTGGTGCAGTGTAGGAGGGATGCTGTACTGCTTAAATAACCCTAATTTATTTAAATAAAACCTGATTTCCAATCTAATCAGCAAAACAGAGAAATGTAAATTCCTTTTATATATCTATATCCAGGGCTTTTTTTGTCATAGAATGCCCAGAATGGAGTTCCGACACCATTTTTGGGATGGAACCTTGTAGGGTAGGCAAGGCGGGTTGTATGACGTATGTGAGTTCCGGCACCTTTTTTTTTTTTTTTTTACAAAAAAATCTCTCTCTCTCTCTCTCTCTCTCTCTCTCTCTCGATATAGATATAGATAGATAGATAGATAGATAGATAGAGATAGAGATAGAGATAGAGATAGAGATAGAGATAGAGATAGAGATAGATAGATAGATAGATAGATAGATAGATAGATAGATAGATAGATAGATAGATAGATAGATAGATAGATAGATAGATAGAGACAGACTATATATATCTAGATATAGATATAGATATATAGATGTAGGTCTTTGGATATTCGGGTTTTCTCCCACGTAAAATTGGAAGTGTCTTGGCGACGTTTCGACGAAGTCACATTCGTCATCTTCAGGCTGGTGTCTTCAGCTTCATGCTTCTACAAACACCCGCGAAAACCTCAGAAAACAGATATATAGATATAGATATATAGATATAGTCTGTGTTTATTCTTTTTCTCCCCTAGATATCTCAGATTTGTGCGCCTTTTCCAAAGACAGCTTAAAAAAAAACCCTGAGAACCAAAATACGACCATGTCATCTTTTAGATTTATCTTATATATGTTACATTTCAGGGGTAGGGGTTGGCTTTTTAAATCTGCATCGAAAGATAGCAATAGTCTGTTAATAGAATTCAGTTACATTTATGACTTTATACAGTTGCATTAATTTATGTCTCTCTCTCTCTCTCTTTATGTATGTGTCTAGCATGTGTTTCTCAACCTTGACAACTTGAAGATGTGTGGATTTCAACTCCCAGAATTCTGGGAGTTGAAGTCCACACATCTTCAAGTTGTCAAGGTTGAGAAACACTGGATTAATTTTATGTTTGGAAAGACAGTTAATGCTTTTTGATGAGTAGATGAGTGTTACAGATTAATAAACCACGCTATCCCTTCCTTGCAGTGTCTTTATAGCTGATTGGATCCTCTTTTTCTGTTTGAGATGCAGAGAGGGTCAAAGCTAAAAATGATGCCGCCGAAATGTCAGACTTTAATCCCCCCCAATGCTTTATGATGACATCATCGTTGTGTGGACTAAATTAACAGGCAGCAAATATGACCCATCGTGACAGTTCAACAGTGATTATTACTCTGATGGGGGATCCATCCTCCAGAAAGGCGGGTGGGCAGGTTGAAGAAACGTGTGGGAGGCTGACAGAAGCTATGCCTGATTTAATTTAGGCTTATATTTAAATCCAATTGCTGTTAAATTAAATATATATCTATTTTAATTACTCCCACACTTAAAGAATGGATCTTGGGTTTTACATCTCCTTAAGTCTGGAGAAAGCATGTCATTTATATATAACATGACCCCCTCTCCTTTGTGGCAGCCCCTCAAATACTGGAACACTGCTATCGTGTCTCCCCTGTTTCTTCTTTTCTTTAGACTAGCCCAGGGGTAGGCAACCTTGGCCCCTTCATGACTCCTGGACTTCAACTCCCAGAATTCCTGAGCCAGCCATGCTGAGGGGAAAGGGAGAGGTTTCCAAGCTGAGCCATGCTGGCTCAGGAATTCTGGGAGTTGAAGTCCACGAGTCATAAAAGAGCCAAGGTTGCCTACCCCTGGACTAGCCAAACCCAAGTCCTGCAGCCGTTCTTCATATGTTTTAGCCTCCAGGCCTTTGGTCATCTTAGTTGCTCTTCTCTGATTTTTTTTCCAAACTCTCAACATCTGTTTTGTAGTATGGTTCCTATAGTAACGTTCCTATATTCCCTCGAATGCCTATGTGGTCAGGATGTGTCGGTCTGAGACACTTCCACTTGCCAGGTGATAAATCATAGATGAGTTAAATTTGATATCAAGACGGGATGCCATTGAGGTAATGTAAAATCAGAGTCTTCCATTTGTTCTGATTACATCTTCACCAGATTTCTTAGCCACTGATGGATGTGTTTTTCAGGTGAGGGGGGACACTGATTTATCTTTATTTTAGGCAATTTATCTCCCTCTCACCCTGGAGGGATGCCAAATACTTTATTGGCTTGATTGTTTTACAATCATTTTGCCTTTGTGATCCTTCCTTCCTTCCTGGAGCGATCCCAAGGAATCAGGGACCATGAAATAAACATACTGCCACGTTGGGATCAGAATTTCTGTTCTGTTCTGTTCTGTTCATACAATCTTCTTTGCCATAGTTGTTAAGTGAATCATGCAGGCGTTAAGCGAATCTGGCTTCCCGCGTTGACTTTGCTGGTCAGAGGCCAGCTGGGATGATCACAAATGGCAATCACATGACCCCTGGGATGCTGCAACCATTGTGCATACATAGCAGTTGCCAAGCAGCCGAATTTTGATCACGGAACAGTGGGGATGCTGAAAGAGTCATAAGTGTGAGGACTAGTCGTAATCCACGTTTTTCAGGGTTCACTTTTTTTGAATGGTCTCTAAACGAAGAGATGTAAGTCGAGGATTATGTGTAATGGCATCATAGCACTGATTTCTACATTGTCTTCCATGTTTCTCCTTGGAAGTCTCTCCTAGAGCATTTTCCCAGGCTGATCTCCGTTGACTTTTCAAATGTATGTTAAAGAGGAAGGGCCCACTAACACCTTCACAATCCTTCCAGGACTTCCCAATCTTGCACTTGGATGGAATTGTGGATGAACATTCCAACATCCTGGGCTTCTCCATGTTCAACACCAGCCACCCTTTCTACCTGGAATTTGTCCGTAGCCTCAACATGTCATGGCGGGAGAACTGTGAACTCAATCTTTATCCAGGACCGGCGGTAAGTGTGACAATCCAGCAGGGGGAAGGAGAGAGGACAATACGGGTGCATGAGTGGGAAAGATTTTCTAGCTAAATAAGGACCGGGGGATTTGAAAAGACGGCACATCTCTTCTTACAAAGGGCGCTACAGAATAGCAACCACTGAGTCATAATAACCTTTGGGTTCCTCTACATCAGGGGTCCTCAAACTTGGCCACTTTAAGATTTGTGGACTTCAGCTCCCAGAATCCTGGGAGTTGAAATCCACAAGTCTTAAATTGGCCAAGTTTGAGGATCCCTGCTCTACATCAAGGTTCTCCAAACCTGGCAACTTTAAGACTTGTGGACTTCAACTTCCTCATCTTCAACAACCAGTTGAGGAATTCTGTGAGTTGAAATCCACAAGTCTTAAAAGTTGCCAAGTTTGGAAACTCCTACATATTTGGCATGTTTGGGGAGGGTAAATGAATATCCATCATCCTTCTCTTTGGAGAATTATGACCGTCAGAAGCTTTAGAAAGGAATGTCTGCAGATCTGTGATGGGTTTGTCAGCTATTGTCATTTGCTGGTGACAAGAACCCACTTTTCTAAATGTCTGTTTGGGAGCCTAAGCTCAATTCTATACAAAAGACAATGGGATCGTTAGCCTCAACCTTCCCTGACTCTGTTTTCAATTTCTTCCTATATGGAAATCAATTGAGCCTCTAATATTATTAAATAAACTTGGCAGGCAATTAAAAGGCCTGTAAAAAAGTCACCTTGGTCCGAAGTTAGAGTTAGCTTTTCTCAGTCCCTTATATGTCATAATTTCTAGCTCATTAAGAGGAAGAGGAAGAAAAACAAAGTCTTCTTAATTTCTAAAACAATGACTGTTGTCTTGAAGATGGAAATTAATATGACATTGTAAATAAGCAAGGGTTTGTTTGCACAGCTATTCATTGGACGAGATTTCCCCACCTTATGCTTTTCAGATATCTTTGATAGGTGTTCATTTTTGACATTGGCTGAAATTCTGAGTTGGAAATTGTTTTAACTTCTGAAGAATGTTGGGTTGAAGACAAATGAAGTTAGGAATCTATGTAGTTGGGAATCTATGTCTTTTTGATGGACTTCAGCTGTCCTCAACATAACAGCTGAAGGAAGGATGTTGGGTTGAGGAAGAGTGGATTGTTGGGTTGAGAAACAAAAGATGTTGGGTTGAGGAAGAGTGGATTGTTGGGTTGAGAAACAAAAGATACTGGGTTGAGAAAAGATGGATTATTGAGTTAAGGAACAATGATGTTGGGTTGAGGAAGGATGGGTTGAGGAATAAAGGATGTTGGGTTGAAGAACACAGCTGAGGTCAGCCAGGAAGACATATTCTTAACTGCCTAGATTCCTAACTGCTTCTAACTAAAATTATTTCTGTTCAGCTGAGCTTCAGGATAAACACTCCTCCACTGTTGACTTTGAGAAATTGTTCAAGATCGGGTTGACTTCATCCTGGTGGAGCACATCCACGCTTACTATCTGACTCACCCAACCCACCTCTGCAGCTGCACAGATGTTTTAGTGTGGTAGCCAAAGCAAGAATAGCTTTGGAAGAACAGGGTAGCAAGGAGGTGCCACTGTCTGTGCCCCTCCCCCTGCCGAATGCCATAATTAGCAGCAGCCAAATTATTTTTGTTCCCCTCCAGCTATCAGCAGCCCTCATGTTTGACGCAGTACATGTGGTTGTGAGTGCCGTGCGGGAATTGAACCGTAGCCAGGAGATTGGGGTTAAGCCCCTGGCTTGCACATCAGCTAACATCTGGCAACATGGAACCAGTCTGATGAACTATCTGCGCATGGTGAGACACTGCTGCTCCTAGCGCGACAGTTCCCTCCTCCCTTTTTGAAAAAGCAAAACAAAACATGGAAATATGTGACATGATTGTGTAAGCGTTGATGTCTGTCTTGTTCGATTTGCCCAAACAAAGGTCAGATGTTCTCAGCTGGAGCAAATACGCCAATTGCTCGCAGGTCCCCTAAGAGAAATGTGACCACTGACTTTGCTGCCCTTGCAACAATGAATGGCAAATTTATTCAACGAAGTGGATGTGCACAATTCGGTCACCCAGAGATAAAACTATCCAAATTTAGCATTTTGGGTGAATCTAGCTGCCGATTGTGTTAATTATATTGTCCAAACATGACAATACAGTTGTATTGGCAAGAGGGGGAAAAAAACCCTCTAAGACTATTTTACTACCAGATTTCTGTGGCACAATTTAGGACAGGGGTCTCCAAACTTGACCCCTTTAAGACTTGTGGACTTCAGCTCCCAGAATTCTTCAGCCATCCATTCCTCAGTGAATTTCCTAGGTCAAATTTCCTAGGTCACTGGCTAGGACATGGCCATTTTAAGACGTGTGGACTTCGACTCCCAGAATTCCTCAGCCAGCCAGACTATCGCATGTCCTAGGTCAGTGGTCTCCGAACATGGGCACTTTAAGACTTGTGGACTGGCTGAGGAATTCTGGGAGTTGAAGTCCACAAGTCTGAAAGTGCCCATGTTTGAAGAACACTGATCTAGGACAGGGGTAGGCAACCTTGGCTCTTTTATGACTTGTGGACTTCAACTCCCAGAATTCCTGAGCCAGCATGAGGGAACTATGGCCCCCTCATGACTTGTGGACTTCAACTCCCAGAATTCCTGAGCCAGCATGGCTCAGCATGGAAACCTCTCCCTTTCCCTCATGGCTGGCTCAGGAATTCTGGGAGTTGAAGTCCACGAGTCATAAAAGAGCCAAGGTTGCCTACCCCTGTCCTAGGCCTGTATTTCTTAACCTTGGCCACTCGGAGATGGGTGGACTTCAACTCCCAGAATTCCTGAGCCAGCATGGAAACCTCTCCCTTTCCCCTCAGCATGGCTGGCTCAGGAATTCTGGGAGTTGAAGTCCACGAGTCACAAAAGAGCCAAGGTTGCCTACCCCTGCCCTAGGACACGGGATAGTCCCTTTCCTTATTTGGGAGATGAAAGGATCCAGAGTTCTTCCTCCTCAAGCTAATTATAACTTGTGAACCAGTTTGGGCCCTGCCTCACTCCCATTCTCCTGTGTTCTTCTCTCTGTCTTCTTCGATTTGCACCCCATTCCTCTGTCTCTCCATCCCTGGCTAGGTAGAGTATGACGGGCTGACGGGACACGTGGAATTCAACAGCAAGGGTCAAAGAACGAATTATACCCTGAGAATTCTGGAAAAAGGTCGACACGGACACCGGGAGGTAAGACGATTAGAGCTTGAGCTTAGGGCGATCTGTTTTTGCAAAGGAGATCACAGGTAGTCCTCGACTTAAGAACCATTCGTTTTGTGACTGTTCAAAGTCACAACGGCACTGACCAAACTGATTGTAAGGGCCCACCTCAGCTAACCACCCAAGAAAGCAGAACTCTTGAAACAGGCATTGTCCCAAAAGGAAGCTTTTATTAGGGGGCAGTGACAGTAAGGAAGTCAAGGCAAGATCTGGGGAAAACCCCGTGCAAACAGTGTAATTAAGCTAACAATAGTCCTCCTCCCACCAAAGTCATAATGTCCATTTGAAATCCAGCCAATCCACAGGTGGCACAATGAGCAGGTAACTGGCGCAGTTGGCACGCATAATAATAATAATAATAATAATAATAATAATAATAATAATAATAATAATAATAATAATAATAATAATAATAATAATAATAAGTAGTAGTAGTAGTAGTAGTAGTAGTAGTAGTAGTAGTAGTACCTTGGAAGTCATCTAGTCCAACCCCCTGGACCATTGGCTGTCCAGTCTCTTAAAAACGTCCAATGTTGGAGCATTCACCACTTCTGGAGGCAGGTTGTTCCACTGGTTAATTGTTCTAACTGTCAGGAAGTTTCTCCTTAGTTCTAGGTTGCTTCTCTCTCTGATTAGTTTTCATCCGTTGCTTCTCGTCCTGCCTTCAGGCGCTTTGGAGAATAGCCTGACTCCCTCTTCTTTGGGGCAGCCCCTGAGAGACTGGAACACTGCTATCATGTCCCCCCTCGTCCTTCTCTTCATTAAATTAGACATATCCAATTCCAGCAGCCGTTCCTTGTATGTTTTAGCCTCCAGTCCCCTGATCATCTTTGTTGCTCTTCTCTGTACTCTTTCTAGGGTCTCAACATCTCAAGGTCTTCTCCAGCTTTCGTTTCTCTGTAACTCTCTCCCCATAAGGGAGACACATTCCTTTCTCAAGTGGACAGAGGTGGAAGAAGGAAAGCAGAAAGCGGAAGTCACCCCAAGCGAAAGCACAACCCCCCCCCCAGTTAAATGGCAGGCCCCAAAGCAAAGCACAAGAATATATATATGAAAGGGAGACAATAAGGATTTGGGGACCTGACAGTGATCACCATGTTTCACATTTATGACTGTTGCAGCATCCCCAGGGTCAGGTGATCAAAATTCGGATGCTTGGCAACCGGCTCAGATTTATGATGGTTGTAGCGTCCCGGGGTCACGTGATCCCCTTTTGTGACCTTGTGACAAGCCAAGTCAATGGAGAAGCCAGGTTCACTTAGCAACTGGGTTACACACTTAACAACTGCAGTGATTTACTTTCTGTCCACAGCTATGGCAAGAAAGGTCGTAAAATGGGGCCAGAGTCAGTGCTGGGTTTGATTGTGGTCATACATCCAAGACTATCTGTACGCAGGATAAATCTAGCAAGAATCTATAACTCTGGCTTCTGTCTCAACAGATTGGGGTGTGGTACTCGAACAAAACGCTTGCAATGAACGCCACAACGTTGGATATCAATGCCTCAGAGAGCCTTGCCAACAAGACCCTGGTGGTCACCACCATCTTGGTAAGTGCCCTCCTTGCCTTACTCTTTAATGATATTTCTCCATCTTTTTAAAAGCAGGGTTTAAATAGTTGTGTAGATCAGAGGTCCACAACCTTTTGGGCACCAGGGACCGGTTCCTTGGAGAGAGGTTTTTTTTGCGGACTGGAGGATGTATGTTTTTGTGTGCTGCCTGCATCCCACGGGTGGGCCTTTGCTTGTTTGTGTGGACCGGTTGCTGGCATGCTGCGGCCCGGTACTGGTCCACAGACTGGGGGTTGGGGACCCCTGGTGTAGATGACTCAGTGAAAGTCAACCAAGCATGCGAAGGATAACTGGGCCCCTGGAGATGTAAACACAAAGGAGTTTTAGCTTGTTTAATTTTTCAGGTGGGAAAATGAGGCTCCCACAGCAAAAAAATGTGTCTGTTCTCTTTAGTTCTCTCCTTGATTAATTTCCATCTGTTGCTTCCGCTCCTGCTTTGGAAAATAGATTGATCCCCTCTTCTTTATGGCAACCCCTGAGATATTGGAACGCTGCTATCCTGTCACCCCTGGTCCTTCTTTTCATTAAACTAGACATACCCAATTCCTGCAACCGTTCTTCGTTTATGTTTTAGCCTCCAGCCCCCTAAACATCTTTGTTGTTCTTCTCGGCACTCTTTCTAGAGCCTCAACATCTTTTTTTACATCGTGGCATACTTCATATTTATATAGTGAAGACTTTCTCCAAATAGTTTGCACTAGTTCTTCACTTCCAAAGAAATCGTTGAAACGGCTGCTTGAAATGGTCAAACTCTTCCGGCTCATCTTAGGTTAAAAATGAGATGGTGGTTGTGATGGGCAAACAATAATTAATGTCTGGCATGCGCTTCCCAACAATGGACTGATGGCAAGCATGCTTCAGTTGAGGAGGGGAAAAAAAAAAAGAATCAGGCAAATTAGTGAAGAGCCGTGATTGCGACTGTGATTTTCATGCACAAAAGAGGTGCGGGTCCTTCTGCATAGGAGTGGGCACAGAGAAACAAAAGGCGCAGATTGTTGGGTTGTTATGATGTGGAGGGGTGCGGCCGATTCCTCTAAAACATTCATCAGAATATTGAGGACAGAATAGAGGCAGAGACTGGGCGCTCTTGAACTAATTTCAGAAGTGTTGTGTAAATGGTCAGGACAGATTTATTGGGGGGGGAAACATGGCTCCTTCCTCTAGTCGGCTGATGAATGGGAAGGGAAAGAGAGAAATAGAGGAAGAGAAAGAGGGAAGGGCTGTGAAAAAGGAATAGTAACCCTATCCACTGTCTGCTGCAACTCTTCTCCTTAGATAACTTCAGCGAGTCAGTTTGGCCTAGTCTAGTGCAAGGGTAGGCAACCTTGGCTCTTTTATGATTCCTGGACTTCAACTCCCAGAATTCCTGAGCCAGCATGGGGGAACTATGGCCCCCTCATGACTCGTGGACTTCAACTCCCAGAATTCCTGAGCCAGCATGGGGGAACTATGGCCCCCTCATGACTCGTGGACTTCAACTCCCAGAATTCCTGAGCCAGCATGGGGAAAAATTTGGCCCCTTCATGACTCGTGGACTTCAACTCCCAGAATTCCTGAGCCAGCATGGCTCAGCTTGGAAACCTCTCCCTTTCCCCTCAGCACGGCTGGCTCAGGAATTCTGGGAGTTGAAGTCCACGAGTCATAAAAGAGCCAAGGCTGCCTGCCCCTGGCCTAGCGATTAAGGTGCTGGGCTATAAACCAGGAGACAGTGAATTCTAGTCCTGCCTTAGACATGAAAGGTGGCTGGGGGACTTGGGGCCAATCAGCAGCAGACTCTGAGTTCTAGTGTCGCCTTATCCATGAAAGCCAACTGGGTGACTTTGGGCCAGTCTCCTACTCTCAACCCAACCACCTCACTGGGTTGTTTTTGTGGGGGGAAAATAGGAAGAAGGAGGAATATTACGTATGTGTCAAGAGGGAAAATTGGGCAGCTACGTGCCTCTCTGTTTTCGTCTTGCCATTAGAGTAAGGGGATGGGTAGGTGTTGCTTTTGAATGGGTTAGTTAGAGAAACGAAACCTCTCCAGTTCTACGGAAGCTTGCAGAGAGTCTGCAGCATGGAAACCGTTCAAGGACATTCTAGCAGGTGTGAAGAAGATAGCAGACGGTTCCCATAACAAAGATAAGATGTTTACATGAGCTATATAGACATCTGGGGTGGGTTGTCCCCACTCCGCTCCCTGCCCCGTCCCCACCCCGCCTGCCCGCAGGGCCACTCACCACCTCCAGGGCCCGCCGCAGATTGCCCTGGCAGTCCAGCAATGCCATGGCGGCCACACCCTCTGCCTGCGCCCCGCAGCATCAACTGTACGCGATGGGGTGTGAGGGCAGAGTCTTGTCTACGCTGCCTGGCTGCATGTCCTTGTCTGTGCTGCTCCGTGTGGGCCACGCTGGGGCGCGACTCTCCTCCAGGGGGGCTGCTGGTAAGGAGGGGGGCACGGGGAGAGACAAGACTAGGGCAATGGCACGTGTGCCCACAGAGAGGGCTCCGAGTGCCCCCTCTGGCACGCGTGCCATAGGTTCGCCACCACTGTTATATGCTAAGGTCTGATGCCTTGGGACTTTAGAATTAGTTTTACCTCGCCTTGACCAGGCCATGTATTCAATAAACAGCTTTTCAGAAACAAAAATAATCCTGGACTTTTATTGGGATACTTGAGGTGGAAGTTGATTTGGGTTTGAGGTTCTCCTGTCAAAAATACGTCAGATCTGGAGGACAGTTGCCTGTTATCTACTAGCTCAAAGGTCTCTTTAAGACTTGTGGACTTCAACTCCCAGAATTCCCCAGCCAGTGCATGCTACCTCATATTATATCCTGGCTTTCACTCTTAACAGGAGAACCCGTACGTGATGCGTCGGCCAAACTTCCAGGAACTGTCTGGTGCCGCCCAGTACGAAGGCTTCTGCGTGGACATGCTTCACGAGCTTGCCGACATCCTTAAGTTCCGTTTCCAGATCAAACTGGTGGAAGATGGACTTTATGGGGCGCCTGAACCTAATGGATCTTGGACTGGCATGGTGGGAGAACTCATCAACAGGGTAGGGCTGTTAGGGAAAGCCCACCCACCCCCACCCTCCTTTTTTTTTCCCCCTACAAAAATTCCCACTAAGCAGACAGTCCTTAACTGTAAAATTGTATGTGGAAAGCAAGTTGCTTTTAGGAACGAGAATCTTACTCAAAGCTGAAGGATGAAGGTTGGGGGCAGATCAATGCATGCCAGTTTGGTGCATCAGCAGCTAAGTGGATCTGGCCATTCTGCATGGCTATTCAATTCTGTTTTTTTCAGAAAAATGTGAGCTTAATGGTGCTTTTCCCCCCCTATCCCTCACAAACGTCAGCTCCGTGCAGCAGCAGAAAAAACGATAAATAAGCAGACAGATCTGATAACAGCTCCCTGCAGGCAGAAAGCTATTTGCTAGCAACCTTGGCTAGGATATTTTCTCCGTGATGCTTCTTCTGGCGGAGCTGATGCCGGCTTGTTTGTGCTTTTTCTCTTCTCGCAAAAGAGAGTAACAAAAACGGCATCTCTGCTTCGAGGATCTGAATGGGTTGAACATTTGTTTGTGTGTGCATTTAGCCTGCACCGAAAGGCTGTCTATAAAATGACTCACTATTACTCAGTAGTAGGCGAACCAGATCTGGACTCATTTGGATAACTACAAGAAAGCAGCCAAGGGATATATGTATTTTTTTCTGCATCTCTCTGTCACTTTTCTAGTGGTTTTTGAGATTTCTGCAGGCAAGATCTGATGGTTGCAGTTAAAATAATCAAATTACAGATAAACCTCAACTTGCAACTATTCGTTGGGTGACTGTTCAGATTACAACGGCACTGTAAAAAGCGACTTAAGACTGTTTATCACACTTACAACTGTTGCAGCAATCCCAAGGGTCACATGATCAAAATTCAAGAGGCTCAGCAACTGATTCGTATTTATGACAATCGCAGTGTCCTGGGGTCAAGGATCCTCTTTTGCAACCTACAAGTCAATGGGGAAACCACTTTACAACCGTGTTACTAACTTAACAATAGCAGTGGTTCACTTAAGAACTGTGGCATAAAGGTCATAAAAATAGGGCAAAACGTGCTTCACTTAGCAACAGAAACTTTGGGCTCAATTGAGGACTACCTGTATTAATTGATATGGGTAGTTCTTGACTTACGACTGCAATTCCAGTTCTAAGTCATGGTTGTTAAGCAGGTCATCCCATGCCTGATTTTAGGACCTTTTTTTTTGCAATGGTCATTAAGCAAACATGGCGTCGTAAAGTGAGTGCCTCAGTCGTTAAGCGCCCACTGTTCGCTATGGGACTTTTTTTTTTTACATAAACGCCCATTTACAGCACAAAATGGTGGATTCCAGCAAAAACATTGTCCATCACGATTGACCCCCATTCCCTTTGAAGAATATAGGCAGTCCTCGATTTACGACCACAATTGAGCCCAACATTTCTGCTGCTAAGCGAAGCAGTTGTTAAGTGAGCTTTGTCCCATTTCACGACCTGTCTTGCCCCCGTTGTTAAGTGAATCCCTGCCATTGTTAGTAACGCGGGTTGTTAAGTAAGTCCGGCTTCCCCATTGATTTAGCTAGTCCAGGAGGTCACAAAAGGGGATCATGAGACACTGCAGCCGTCATAACTACGAGTCAGTTGCCAAGCCTCTGAATTTTGATCACGTGACCCTGAGGACGATGCAACGGCTGTCAGTCTGAAAAACTAAGTCGTAAGTCAGTTTTTTTCAGGGCTGTTGTAACTTTGGATGGTCACTAAATGAACTGTCGTAAGTCGAGGACTAGCTTTTGTCTTTGCTTGGGTTCCAGCCAGCCAATGAAAATGTAGACGGTCTCTGTGTCTTGTGAGACAATTAACGTTTCCTGTGCTTTGACCTTCAGAAAGCCGATCTGGCGGTGGCTGCCTTCACCATCACTGCCGAACGGGAGAAGGTCATTGACTTCTCCAAGCCCTTCATGACCTTGGGAATCAGCATCTTGTACCGTGTACACATGGTAGGTACAACTCCGCCTTCAAGTGGAGGGAAGAAGAGTGGGGGATTATCTGACGATCGGGGAGAGCGCTGTGGGGATCACTCACCCCACGCCTTAACGCAGACATGTCAAACACAAGGCCCGGGGGCCGGACGTGGCCCGCGAAGTGGTTTCATGTGGCCCGTGAAGCCATCCTGGAAACAGTGAGGGAACGGCCCCTGCTGCCTTGGCCCTGGTCCAGGCCGGCCGGGAGCCAATGTACAATTTTGTGGTGGCCATCTATGCTGAAACTCATTCAGTCTTAGCTCCACAAGGCCGTCTGGAACCAGCAAGGAACCAGCCCCTGCCGCGTCAGCCCCCTGGGGAGGTGTCACCCTTTGTGAGGAATGAAGAAATGCACCATCGCCTGGAAGTGGCCAGCAAATGGCCCTCGCCTACTTCACATATCCAGCTTGATGGGCTCCGGCGGAGGGGTTTCAGCAGGCTGTAAGGCTCCTCCAGTGGACCATGCCTTGGCACTTGCCCCGGTCCCACCCCCTTCTGCCAGAGACCCTCAGATCTGTCCCACTCCTGCCCAGGCCCCCACAGGCACCCTTGACGCGAACGATGTAGAGCTGGCCACGCCCACACAGTAGGCCACACCCACTCCATCCACAGCCACCCAGTAGGCCGCCCACCCTGGCCACACACCCCCGCCCCCCCAAGGGCAACCGCAATGCTGATGCGGCCCTCAATGAAATTGAGTTTGACACCCCTGCCTTAACGTCAGTTCCATTGAGTCAACACGTGGCGACAAAATGGCACCTATTAAACATAATCAAGTGTCTGAGTAACGAAACTGTCAAGTGTCTGAGTAACGAAACACTTAAAAGGACTTTCAGGCATGTTTTCTCCTAAAAGCATTTATTAAGGTTACAATACGTCAGCACAGCATGGTGGAATGCTTAGGTCTGCTTCTCTTCCATTACGCATAACATTCCAAACATTTTCCACTCCCTTATTGTAGGGTCATGATTCACATCTTCCAATCAACTTGGAAGATGTGATTTACTTCCAGTTTCTTTCTCCCAGGCTATCCTTATGCTCCTCCCTCTTCCCCAGTTGCTGGTTTAACTATATATATACCAGACAGTTCTGCACATTGTCAAAGCAAGAATATACAGTATTTGCAGCGTTGACAAATGCTATATTTAAGGCGGGAAGTCCCTCAACTTGGAAACTTCCAACTGTATGGACCTCAACTCCTAGAATTCCCCAGTCAGCCTGGAATTCTGAAACTTAAGTCCACCCATAGAGAGCCAGTTTGGTGCAGGGACTAAGGACGCTGGATTAGAAAACCAAAGCAGCGGGAGTTCTAGTCCTGCCTTGGACACCAAGTTAACCGGGTGAGTTTGGGCCAGCGGAAGAAGGCAATTGCAAATCATTTCCAAAACAAATCTCAAAACAGTGCCAGGACTTGTCTTATTTAGTTGACAGGGGTCAAGAATGATTTGGAGGTATATAGACACAGAGACAGAGCGAGAGACATCCACACATCTAGAAGTTGATAAGTTTGTGGAAAAACTAATTTAATGCAATTCACTCTTTGGAACTATGCTTGTTATTAGGAAATTCAGAAATACTTCAGTGAACTTCTAATCTTTTTTTTTTATTTTTTAATAGGGACGCAAACCGGGTTATTTCTCCTTCCTTGACCCGTTCTCCCCAGCTGTTTGGCTTTTCATGCTTCTTGCCTATCTGGCAGTCAGCTGTGTCCTCTTTCTAGCTGCTCGGTAAGTACTCCCTATGAACGGTCACTAAACAAACTGTTGTAAGTGGAGGACCAGCTGTATCGAATTTGCAACAGGTTTGGAAAAATCACCATCGTTTTATCTGCCACCTTCCTTGAAATATTTAATGTGTAGGGCAGGGGTAGGCAATCTTGGCTCTTTCATGACTCGTGGACTTCAACTCCCAGAATTCCTGAGCCAGCATGGCTCAGCATGGAAACCTCTCCCTTTTCCCTCAGCGCGGCTGGCTCAGGAATTCTGGGAGTTGAAGTCCACAGGTCATAAAGTTGCCATAGTTCCCACCCTGTCCTGAGGGATGAGGTTAGGACAGGGGTGGGCAACCTTGGGCTCTTTTATGACTCGTGGACTTCAACTCCCAGAATTCCTGAGCCAGCATGGTTCAGCTTGGAAACCTCTCCCTTTCTCCTCAGCATGGCTGGCTCAGGAATTCTGGGAGTTGAAGTCCACGAGTCATAAAAGAGCCAAGGTTGCCCACCCCTGGTCTAGGAGATGGTGATGGTTGTTTTTCCCCTCTCTGGAACACAGTCTCCTCTTATAAACACATCATGCCAGCACCTAAGACGAGGACTACCGTGTAAATCAGTGTCAGTCGTCCTTCTCGGGAGGACCTGATCTTTCACGCCTGACCGCTGAAAGTAACAAGGCTAGAAGAGCCATTTTGCAGAAGGAAGGAGGGCGGCGTATAAATGTAATAAATAAATAAGGAAAAAAGTGAGCTGTGTTTCTTCCTTCCGCAGGCTGAGCCCTTACGAATGGTACAACCCTCATCCTTGTCTCCGGGAGCGTCACAACATCCTGGAAAACCAGTACACGCTGGGCAACAGCCTCTGGTTCCCAGTCGGGGGCTTCATGCAACAAGGATCTGAAATCATGCCACGAGCGCTTTCCACCCGTTGCGTCAGCGGGGTCTGGTAAGCAGCTGTGCGACTTAACAACCGAGCCGTCTGAAGGAGAGAAATTGTGCAGAACACAACTTACCAAAAAAGACAGCATGGGGTACAGATAGCCCTTGAGTCACGACCAAGATTGAGCCCAACTTTTCTGTGGCTAAGTGAGACATTTGTTGAGGGAGTTTGGCCCCGTTTTACGACGTTTCCTTTTTTTTTTTTTTTTGCCACGGTGGCTAAGTGAATCATTGCGATTGTTAAGTCAGTCGCACGGTTGTTAAGTGAAGCCGGCTTCCCACGCTGACTTTGCTTGTCAGACGGTCGCCAAAGGGGATCACGTGATCCCGGGACACTGCGACTGTTATCAATAAGAGTCAGTTGCCAAGCGTCTGAATTGATCACGTGACCCTAGGGGACACTGCAACAGTCGTCAGTGTGAAAAAACGGTCATAAGTCGCCTTTTTTTCAGCGCTGTTGTAACTTTGAACGGTCACTAAACAAAGTGTTGTAAGGGGAGGAGCAGCTGTGTCGAATTTGCAACAGGTTTGGAAAAATCACCATCGTTTTATCTGCCATCTTCCTTGAAATATTTAATATGTAGGACAGGGGTGGAGAACCTTGGTTCTTTTAGGACTTGTGGACTTCAACTCCCAGAATTCCTGAGCCAGCCAGCCAGCATGCATGCTTGCTCAGGAATTCTGGGAGTTGAAGTCCACAAGTCCTAAAAGAGCCAAGGTTCCCCACCCCTGGTCTAGGGGACGGTGGTGGTTGTTTTCCCCCACTCTGGAACACAGTCTCCTCTTAAACACATCATGCCAGCACCTACAGATTTCAGCGATTTTAAAGGAATACTAATGAGCTTTGCAATCCTTAATTGGTGGCTTAATTGGCACTAAAACTTTAGTTGATTAATCAGTGGGGAACATTTTTAATTGCTGAGAACAACACTTCATCTGTGGGATTGTACATTAAGGGCATATTGGTTTTGACATGATGCAATAGGCAATAATTTTTTTTAAAAAAAATGATGAATTCTCTTTATTGGAGTGCCAAGTTGCTGCGTCTTTCCTTCAAAAACCTGAGTAACATTTATTGACTTATAATTAAGTTTTTAACGGCGTCCAACTTTGAATTGTCAGTTAAGAGCAGATTGCAGATAGTCCTCGACATACGACCACAATTGAACCTGAGCTTTCCGTCGCTAAGCGAGACATTTGCTATGTGCGTTTTGTCCCATTTTAGGACCTTTCTTGCCACAGTTGTTAAATGAGTCGTTGCAGTTAAGTTAGGAACACAATTGTTAAGGGAGTCTGCCTTGCCCCGTTGACTTTGATTGTCAGAAGTTGGCAAAAGAGGGTCACATGACCCCGGGACACTGCGACCGTCATAAATGTGAGTCAGTTGCCAAGCCGCCCTGAGTCCTACGGGAGAAGGGCGGGATATAAATCCAAATATAAATAAATAAATAAAAAAAAGCATCTGAATTTTGATCATGGGGAGGCTGCAATGGTCGTAAGTGTGAAAAACGGTCATGAGTCATTTTTTTTCAGTGCCGTTGTCGAGGATTATCTGTACTGCTTAAGAAAGTGTCGGCTTCACCGCGAATTTATTATTGTTTTATATCTCTAGCTTTTTTCAATGCAGGTAGTCCTCTCTTAATGACCGCAGTTGACCCCAGAATTTCCACTGTAAGTCATTGCAGTCATTAATCAGGTCACATGTGACGCAACTTGATTTAATTATTGTTTTTACAAGGGTCATAAAACTAGCCACTGGTTGTTAAGCAAACCATGTAGTCATTGAGCGAATCACTTAGTCCCATGCTGGCTGGGGAATTCTGGGAGTTGAAGTCCAGATATCTTCAAGTTGCTAAGGCTGACAAACACAGCTGTATTAGAAGTGCCTTTTTCACTGTCTCAGGAAGCCTTAGGACAGGGGTACCCAACCTCTGGGCTGTGGCCTGTTTGAAACCGATCCACACAAGTGATGGACGAGCACGCCAGCATGCACAGCTCCCCTTGTGCGAGCAGTAGGCACATACGCTCACCGTTGGCGCAAATGGAGCTGCGCATGTGAGCACACTCGCCCGCTATTTGTGCAGATCCATCCCCTCTCCTCCACCGCCGCCACCGGACTGCAAAGCCGGAAAGCTTTCAGAACTGCCGTCTTAGGAGACACATCGAAAGAGTTGTCTTGCCAAGACTTGTACCCATTAAGTAAAAGTTGAACGTTGAAATGTAGAGATTTGTCCTTGTCTCTCTAAAAAAAAAATCAAACTGGGCTTCCTTGTTGCTGTTGCGAAGGTGGGCCTTCACTCTGATCATCATCTCTTCCTACACGGCCAACCTTGCTGCCTTTCTCACCGTGCAGCGCATGGAGGTGCCTATAGAATCGGCGGATGACTTGGCTGACCAAACCAACATCGAATACGGCACCATCCATGCCGGTTCCACCATGACCTTTTTCCAGGTGAGTGTTGTTTTCTCTTTTCCTTGTACAACTGGGCTGCTGAGGGCCCTCTGCTCCAAACCCTTGCGATCGTAGGCGATGGAGGCTACCGGGCGGTTGAGCACGGTGGAGTTTTTATCGTTTCCCTGAAGAAGTGAAAAAGTGATGTTGATTCATAGTTCTCCATTGTCGGCACGTGTTAGTTCTGAAGGCCACCGTTGTACACCCCTGTAGTGTTTTGATGAGGGCATTGTTTTCTGCTTGATTGTTTGTCTGGTGTTAACTCCTTCTTATCTGGGTGTAGGCTGCTAGAGAGGGTGCGTTCTGCTCTTTTTTGTTTCTTTGCTTTTTTTATTGTCTCTTTCGAATGGTGTGCAGATGTGGTGTATCTCTATGTGTCTGTTGATGGCTGATTTGTCTGAATGACGAGTTTCCAGGAATTCCCTAGTGTTTTGGGGATTTTGCTTGGTCTAGGAAGCTCACACTTTCCCAGCTGAAATAATGATTGAATCTGTCTATTGATCAGTCTACTAGGATCTCTTCTCTTCTCTTCTCTTCTCTTCTCTTCTCTTCTCTTCTCCTCTCCTCTCCTCTCCTCTCCTCTCCTCTCCTCTTCCCAACCCTCTCCTCCCCTCCCCACCCCACCCCTTGATCTCCTTCCTTCGAACTTCCTTCCTTCCTTCCTCCCTCCCTCCCTCCCTCCCTCCCTCCCTCCTTCCTTCCTTCCTTCCTTCCTTCCTTCCTTCCTTTCTTCCTTCCTTCCTTCCTTCCTTCCTTCCTTCCTTCGGCAACCTGTATCCATAGTAACAGCAGCCGTCTCTACTCCGAGAGACATTAGCGAAGGGAAATCAATCATCAGACAAGGTGGCAGGCCTTGATGACAGAAAAAGGAAAACCTACATCTGCTTTGCACAGATCTCTGAAAATTGGTTTTTTTATCCTGATCCAAAAAGCCCAGCTTGCTGCAGTCTGCAAGGCCACCGTTATTTTTTAACAAGGAGACCGGCTAGGCCTTGCCGTGTTTGAAAAGCTTGGCTTGTATAATTTGGGTGTTGTTGTTTTTTTTTTTAAAAAAGAGTTTCTTAAAAGCTGCCTTATTTCCCTGACTCTGCTACAACAAAAGGGTTCATAATTCTAATGATAGGCCAAAGCAAAAACAGACCAATTTGCCCGTCGTTTTGAGGGACGCCTGTTTGCTGGGGAGATAAACCGGAGGCAGGAGAAGAAATATATGCCTCGATTATAAATTCCTCGGAAAAAGTTTGCCATCGCAGTTAGTCAGCAAGTAACAAAGGGGCAGATCTTTCTACTACACCAGGGGTAGTCAACCTTGGCTCTTTTATGACTCGTGGACTTCAACTCCCAGAATTCCTGAGCCAGCTGTGCTGGCTCAGGAATTCTGGGAGTTGAAGTCCACGAGTCATAAAAGAGCTAAGGTTGACTACCCCTGTACTACACGGTGCCTGAAAACAGTCCACCTGTCACATTAAAACTCCTTATGCTCTGCTCCTCTCTCTTCCCAATCAGAATTCCCGATATCAAACCTACCAGCGCATGTGGAACTACATGCACTCAAAGCAACCGAGTGTCTTCGTCAAGAGCACGGAAGAGGGGATTGCTCGGGTGCTGAATTCGAAATATGCCTTTCTTTTGGAGAGCACGATGAACGAATATCACCGGAGGCTCAACTGTAACCTGACCCAGATTGGGGGGCTACTAGATACCAAGGGCTACGGCATCGGGATGCCCCTGGGTGAGCAACAGTAACTGGCTTGGCTTGGAGGAGGAGGAAGAAGAGGAGGGGGAGTGGGAGGGAGGACAAGGAGGAGGAGGAAGAGGAGAAAGAGAGGGAAGAGGAGGAGGAAGAGGGAAGAGGAGGAAGAGGAGGAAGAGTTAGAAAGAGGGAAGGGGGAAGAGGAGGAGGAAGAGAAGGAGAAAGAAGGAAGTGGAAGAGGAAGAGAAGAAAGAGAAGGAGGACAAGGAGGAGATGATAGAAAAAAGCTGATTGGTGTCTCAGAGTTGCCTCCTTATCCTCCTGCAGGTTCTCCATTCCGGGATGAGCTCACCCTGGCTATTCTGCAGCTTCAGGAAAACAACCGGTTGGAAATCCTGAAACGCAAATGGTGGGAAGGAAGCAAATGCCCCAAAGAGGAAGACCATCGGGCCAAAGGTCAACAAGTAGAAAATCGGGAGGGTTATGATCTGGGGTCTCTTAAGTACCAAACAACCGCTCCATAGATGATTCATCTTTTCAAACGGATGACCTTCGTGTCATTATCTCAGGGAATGGCCATATTTACTCCACCTGATCTAGGCTTGTAAGCTAAGCGGAACCCCTCTGAGGGTTACAAGCAGTCCCTGAGTTAAGAACAAGCCCTGTCCTTAAATGTGTTTTGAACTTGAATTTGTCTGTAGCGTATGAACGGGCCACCTAGTACTCAAAATGGCGGACCGTGTTCTTCCTTGAGCTGAACAAAATTGCGGAAGCCCTGCAAGATTCTTGGTGGACCTTCTTAATACGCAGCTAGTTTTCAGCGGTTCGTGAAAACACTTGTCCATAATTTGGCCCTTCTTGATCCAAGGACTGCTTGTACTTACGTGGTAGGTTTCTAGGGCAGAAGTCCCCCCCAACCCCCGGGCCATGGACCGGCACCGGTCCGCAGCGTGCCACAAACCGGTCCCACACAAACAAGCTAAGCCCCATCCGCGGGATGCAGGGAACACGTGAAATCACGGCCCCTCCAGTCCCGGGAAAAACCTCTCCATGGAACCGGTCCCTGGTGTCCGAAAAGTTAAGTTTTGGGGAAAGTGCCCTCTTGTGTCCATACAGTAGATTGCAGGCAGGAAAAGCTTGAACTGCCAAGAAATCTCTTACTTCAAAAACCTAAGGTGAAGTTTAATATGGTAGTTGCTCCTTCTCTGCAGAGAACCCTGGGAAATGTAGTTCTGTGAAGGAAAGGGTTTTGTTTTCCCAGAATGTAAACAGCAGCATCTTTTGGAGGAAGATCTGTTCATCAAACTGATCCAAAACTGTAGGTGTCCTTAGTGCTCTCTAGAGCAGTGTTTCTCAACCTTGACAATTTTAAGGCATGTGGACTTCAACTCCCAGAATTCCACAGCCAGCAAAGCAAAACACTGCTCTAGAGCTTGGTTGTTTTCTTGCAGACGTTTCATTACCCAACTAGGTAACATCATCAATGCTAGAAAGGGGTGGGGTTTCGTTCTGTTTTTATACAAGTGTCTTGCCCTGTCAGTGTTGGTGGGAGCGATCTTGACGGTTCCTTGAGTAGACTTGTTCTTTACTGTTTGATGGTTTGTCTGAGTTGGCATTTCCCCAAGGGACTGCTCATGGAACTGTCGAGAACACTGGCCAAGCACCCAAATTTTAATCACATGACTGCGAGGAAGCTGCCATAGTTATAAGTGTTAGGACTTACTAGACATAGCCAAGTTGACTGCTTGGACCAAAGGGGAAAAAAATACAATTTCTTTTGCTTCTACTTGGAAACCCCTTCTGGACTTTGTGCTTGAGGTGGAAAAAACCCGACACGTTGATTTTGGGGTTTACCCAATTTGTTGTTATAAAAATGGCTAGTTTATATTATTACGTAAAAGTAAAAAAGTTGAGGTTTGATGTTATTATCTTATTCTACTGCACCAAAGGACATCAATGCCCTTTCTTTCTTTTCCCTTCCCTTTTTCCTCCCTTATTTTCCTACTATTTTATTTGGTATATTTTTGTGTTTTATATTATAAACTAGTAAACAAAAACTAAAAAAAAAAGAAAGAAGTGAGGACTGCTCGTATGTCCCTTTGCTCGGTGCCATTGCAACTTTGAATGGTCACTAAACAAATGGCTGTAAGTCAAGGACTACTTCTCCTCCCTACCGGAGGGACGTAGGCATCCATCGCCACGTGTCTCCTAACAACTCGTACCCTTCTTTACTCCAGGGTTGGGTATGGAGAACATTGGAGGAATATTTGTGGTGCTGATCTGTGGACTCATCATTGCCGTTTTTGTGGCCGTCATGGAATTTGTGTGGGCCACACGGCGCTCAGCGGAGCACGAAGAGGTGAGTGAGGCTGGGGAGGGGCACAAGGAGAGGGGAGAGAAGGGAGGAAAGCCGAGGCTAGGAAAATGAAGGAAGCCTTGCATGCTTCTTTACAATCAGTCTGAAGTAGAGAAGGAGCTAAGCCACAAGATCTTGCCAAGCCATAAATAGAAGCGTAAAAGGAGTTGGTGTGTATCCACGACAAAGAAGGAAACAATTGGAAACGAAAGGCTGGATTTAGTAACCCAGCATAATCCCAAAAGCGCTTTTTCAAAAGGCAACTGGACTTGAAGACGTTTCGTTTCTCATCCAGGAAGCTTCTTCAGTTCTAACTGAACGGTGGAGAATGGAAGGATTTATATTCCTTGCAGTCATCTGGTCGTTAGCGCTCCTCCTGAGATTCATTCAGTCAGAACTTGATGAAGCTTCTTGGATGAGAAGCAAAACGTCCTCAAAGAAAAACTGCATCCAGTTTTGGTCACCACGATGTAAAAAAGATGTTGAGACTCTAGAAAGAGTACAGAGAAGAGCAACAAAGATGATTAGGGGACTGGAGGCTAAAACATATGAAGAACGGTTGCTGGGATTGGATATGTCTAGTTTAATGAAGAGAAGGATGAGGGGGGACATGATAGCAGTCTTCCAGTATCTCAGGGGCTGCCCCAAAGAAGAGGGAGTCAAGATATTGTCCTGAAGGCAGGACAAGAAGCAACGGATGGAAACTAAGCAAGGAGAGAAGCAACCTAGAACTAAGGAGAAACTTCCTAACAGTCAGAACAATTAACCAGTGGAACTACCTGCCTCCAGAAGCGATGAATGCTCCAACACTGGAAGTTTTTAAGAAGAGACTGGACAGCCATTTGTCTGAAATGGTATAGGGTTTCCTGCCTGAGCAGGGGGTTGGACTAGATGACCTCCAAGGTCCCTTCCAACTATATTATTATTATTAAAAAAAAACCAAGGAAGTCCCGTTGCCTATTGAAAAAGCAGCTTTGGGACAGCCCTGCAAAATATAGACCTGTGATTTTGTTGAACCCATTTTTTTGGGGGGGGGATTGTTCCAACAATTTGTGAAAAATGGGATCACAACCTCTGCCATGGGTGCAATATTACTGATCCTTCCAGAATGACACAAGTTTGAGTACAGGCAATCTTAAGAACAATAATAGCGACTGGATTTTTTATTGTTAGTGATGGAAGTTCTGGCACTTCCAATTCCCATCATTAAGCAAATCCTGAACGGTTGTGAAGAGAGGATGTCACCTAGTCTCCATTTGTGACCTGCCAGTTTCCCTATTGGCTTTGCTTGAAGGAAGCTGACCAAGAAGGTCACAAATGATGATTATGTGATCATAATCACATAATGGGGATGCTGCAAACGATATAGGTACGAGGACCCAGCTGTACGTAAGCATCACTTGCTCAGCACTGGTGTTAAGTTTGAACAGTCACTGAATGGGTGGATGTTAGGTGAGGAGCGCCTGCATTTTGTTGTAAGCTGATGCTCAGTTTACAATGGCAATTGGGACCATAATTGCCATCATTATGTGACACTACATAACTATACCGCTCAGTGACAAATTGCTCTTGTTAAACAAGAACTTTACAGATCATTAAGCAACTGTCTCCAGGGCTTCCGATTTCCTGACGGCTTCCCCAATGACTTTGCTTGTGGGAAGCTGGCAAGGAAATTGTGATTATGTGACCACGATTTGCTGCAACATAATCGTGAACCGGGCACAGAGGGCCCATATCACAATCACATGACTGTGGGGATGCTGCAACAGCTAATACTCCACGGACTGATTGTAACTACTACTCTCTCAGTACTCTTGCAGAGTTTGAATGGTGGCCCAGAATTCCCAGCGCATGAACTTTCCATCTGACTGAATGGCATAGGGCAGGGGTAGGCAACCTTGGCTCTTTTATGACTCGTGGAGTTCAACTCCCAGAATTCCTGAGCCAGCCATGCTGAGGGGAAAGGAAGAGGTTTGCAAGCTGAGCCATGCTGGCTCAGGAATTCTGGGAGTTGAAGTCCACAAGCCATAGTTCCCCCATGGCCCCCTTCATGACTGGTGGACTTCAATTCCCAGAATTCCTGAGCCAGCATGGGGAAACTATGGCCCCCTTGATGACTCGTGGACTTCAACTCCCAGAATTCCTGAGCCAGCATGGCTCAGCTTGGAAACCTCTCCCTTTCTCTTCAGCATGGCTGGCTCAGGAATTCTGGGAGTTGAAGTCCACGAGTCATAAAAGAGCCAAGGTTGCCTACCCCTGGTATAGGATCTCCTGCTGGAACAGGAGTTTGGACTATATGACCTCCAAGGTCCCTTCCGACTGTATTATCCTCTTTTATTCTGACTGTTCTCCTTTTCCCCTCCTGCAGATCTCCGTTTGTCAAGAGATGCTGAGGGAGCTACGTCACGCGGTTTCTTGCCGCAAGCCGACTCGCTCCCGACGGCGACGGCGCCATTACCCCATCCGCGGGGGCCTTTCGCTGCGATCTGTCCGGGAGATGCGCCTCAGCAACGGCAAACTCTATTCGGGGACTTTAGTGACAGAACCAGGCCCTCAGCGCCTGCTGGAAGAGCCCCCCAGGCCTTGTACCCACGTCCGCATTTGCCACGAGTGCCGGCGCATCCAGACTCTCCGGGGAGCTCCCCCGCCACCCCGGGGGCCCCCGCCGCCTGAAGAAGGCACTCCACGGAGGGGAGTCCCCCGCGAACTCAACGAGCAGGAGTGACTGCTCCCTGCCCTTGCTTTTTGGCCCCCTCCTGGTTGACCTTGCCTTCGCTCATCGGCGGAGGTGCCTCCAGTTAGAGATGTACGCTATGCGTATGCCCTGAACGAGGGACCCGAAACTGGGAGGACCCACAGAGAGCCCTACACAGGGACCCTCGCCCTTGGGGGCTGCGGAAGTTTGCAGCTCTCCTTTCAAGTGTCCTGGAGAAAGAAACCCACCTACTCGTTCCGAAATACAGGGGAGGGAGGGGTCCCTTTTTTGTGCCGCCTTCCTTACATGAGAACGAGGTACTCATCATGCCTGGTCCATTCCTCCTTCTCCCCCTCGCTCTCCGTCACCCCAATTTCACCCTCTGGGTGGATGGATCCACGGTGGCACTACAAGAAATAGAGCAGAGTCATACTTTGGGGAGAAGAGATTGCAACTATCTACTTTTCAAGAAGAGCTTTCTCCTCCAGGTTGCCCTCCACGTTTTCTGGACCTCTGACCTCCCTCCAGAAGCTCTCAAGACAGCTTCGTGCGGGACCCCCGTTCCATCAACCTCTGGAGGATGTGCTCAGCAGCTGTACTGGAGGTCAAAGAAACCTGTGGGTCAGGAACGCTGGGCGGTAATGCTCTCCAGCTACGGTAGGGACGGGGAGTAGGGTTCCCACTTCTCAAATGCCCCACCTACCCACCCCACCAGAAAGCACACGTAGCTCCAAGTCACTCCCGACCTCAGTTAAGATGAGTAGGGTTTGGGGTTGTGTGGAAAAAATGAGCATCGGACACTAAGGTTGTGCTCAGAATCCACTGACGTTGCCTTGGGAGAAGTCAGCGACCCAGTGGGTTCCACATGGGGATCCCAGAACCAAGAGATTGAAGGAGCAATGGAAATTAAAGAGCAGAGGTGACCAACAAATCAACTTTGGAAGGAGGGAAATTAACAACACAAGGCTGTTCCCTCCCCCAGAAAGAAGATAAGTGGGGTCTGTGGGAGCAGGTCTGTGGAGCTGCGTGCTCACAATATCTTGTCTGTCTTTTTTTTTTTAATTTTTGTTTCATTCTTTTAATTTTTTTTCCCTTTGGGATAAATTTCTATAGAAGCCAAAACAAAATAAGACAAAAAAAAAACAACTCCTGGAGACTTTAGTGACAACCCCAAAAGACAAATAAATGTGAAAATACTTGGTTCTTTTAAGTGAGTGATGGGCGAGGAGTTGTTTTTTTTTATGGTGTTGGCGAGAGTTTCCTACGCTTAGGGTGCAGTCACGGGTGTGTATGCGCACACACAAAGCACACACGGAGAAAGAGAGAGATCACTGCCTGTTTGTTTGTTTATTTTTTACTTAAGTACACAGGAATTCCCGAAAAGAAGAGCGTCAAGAACGAATAGAAGTTGAGAAAGCTTTATGTGAGTGCGTGGATCTGTTTTTTTAAAAAATGTCCCAATGTGTTGGGACAGTTTTATGTCCAACATTGGGACATTGTCCCAAATGTCCCATCTCAGGGGCTGCCTCAAAGAAGAGGCGGTCAACCTGTTCTCCAAAGCCCCTGAAGGCAGGACAAGAAGCAACGGATGGAAACTGATCAAGGAGAGGACCACCACACCACGATTGCTACCGTCCACCTTTCCTTGTTGTGAGCAGGTCCACCAGTCTTCTTTCACTGAAGCAGCTGTTCCACAAATCCAAATTGATGTTGCTGAGATACTGAGAACTTCCAAATGCTGCTCTTCTAGTGTCTCTTCTGAGCCCTTTACTACCAGTCTCAACCTGAACTTGGATCGAAATCTATCCAAATATTGTTTTATCCAAAGTGCCTGATGTTAGATGGCTATCTTCTAAAACGATTTGCTCTGGAAGTGAGTATTAGTGATGGGATGACCATGTTACGTTCACCTCCTCCAAAATCAGGGGTAGGCAACCTTGGCTCTTTTATGACTCATGGACTTCAACTCCCAGAATTCCTGAGCCAGCCGTGCTGAGGGGAAAGGGAGAGGTTTCCAAGCTGAGCCATGCTGGCTCAGGAATTCTGGGAATTGAAGTCCACGAGTCATAAAAGAGCCAAGGTTGCCTACCCCTGCCCTATACCGTTCCAGACAAGTGGCTGTCCAGTCTCTTCTTAAAAGCCTCCAGTGATGGAGCACCCACAACTTTTGGAGGCAAGTTGTCCCACTGCTTAATTGTTCTGTCAGGAAATTTCTCCTCAGTGCTAGGTTGCTTCTAGAACGAAGGAGAAATTTCCTAATGGCGAGAGCAATAGACCAATGGACTAGCTCAGGGGTAGGCAACCTTGGCTCTTTTATGACTCGTGGACTTCGACTCCCAGAATTCCTGAGCCAGCATGGCTCAGCATGGAAACCTCTCCCTTTCCCCTCAGCATGGCTGGCTCAGGAATTCTGGGAGTTGAAGTCCACCAGTCATAAAAGAGCCAAGGTTGCCTACCCCTGTCCAAGACTGTCCAGATAATTCCTTCTCTTTTGAGGATCATCCCCTGGGATGGTCCTGTCCAGCTTGAAATGAGTAGCTAGCATAGGCCAGGTTTATAATTAAAGGTTGTTAATTAAAACCTTGAATGCACCTTGTCCTTTGAAGTGGCTGAGATAGCCTGAACAAACAAGCCAATTGAGGAGTTCCACAGAAGCTGTATCAGTCATGGTATGAAAACCAAGAGTGATTTTTGTAGTAAATTTGCCACAAAAGATGTTGGAAGCCTAGATCAGGAGTCCCCAACCCCTGGTCCGTGGACCGGTAGCGGGCCGCGCCATGCCAGCAACCGGTCTGCACAAACAAGCAAAGCCCCCCCGGTGGGATGTAGGCAGCACACAAAACCACACACCCTCCGATCCGTGGAAAAACCTCTCTCCACGGAACCAGTCCTTGGTGCCCAAAAGGTTGGGGACTTCTGGTCTACATATAAAAGTGTACTCTGGTGTCAGATAGTTGTCAAAAGATACCAATGGTGGTAAGAAAGTGAGGAGGTTTCATTGCCATCACAAAGTTGACACAATGCAGATCGCCCTTGACTTAACAGCCACAATTGGCACCAGAATTTCTGGTGCTAAGCAAAGCAGCTATTCGGGGTTGCGCTCGATTTTATGACCTTTTTTGCCATGGTTACTAAGTGAATCCCTGCAATTGCGAATCATGTGGTCGTTAAGTGAATCCAGCTTCCCCCACTGATTATGCTTGTTGGAAGCCGGCTGGAAGGCTACAAATGCTGGTCGCATGAACGTGGGACGCTGCAGCCATCCTAAATACATGCCAAGCGCCCCAATTTTGACCATGAGCATGGCGAATGCAGCAAATGTCGTAAGTGTGAGGACCGGTTGTAAATTCCCTTTTTCAGTGCTGTAACTCTGAATGGTTGCAAGTTGAGAACTTGGTGGCCTGGCTGGAGAGGAGAGAGGGAAACTGGGCTGCTTAGAGCAACCAGCCGACACACACAACTCACATGTGCAGCGGGTCAGTGCGCATGTGCATGCCCACGCAGTCCGACTGCAAGTTGAGTGTGTGCATGTGTGTGACTGCCACTCATGCGAGTTGAGCTATGCGCACCGGCCTACCTCTTAACGCAGCCCAGTTCCACATAGGCCACGGCCCGGTAGTGACTGCAGCCTAGGGGTTGGGGACCCTTGCGCTGTGCTTTTGTGCCAAGTGGTTGCTGTGCAAAGCTGGTCTATGATGTGTAGCTGATCTGAGGCAAACAGGGAGACCCTTTTTGTGGTCCAAAGGAGGAGAGAAAGAGGGAGGCCTATAACTTCTATTTCTGAGCACCTCAGAGGCATCTTGACCCCTGGGAGAAACAGAACGATGGACACCAAGGAACCGGACAGGACAAATCTTGATCCAACAGGACAGATCTTGTATTCTTAGCTGTTGATTTGTATCCTTATGATCCTTAGCGCTACCAGTCCTTCAGGTCACTTGACGGTTACAGACTGCTGGCATCCCCCATTCAAAGGGATGAGTTGACGCAGTGTCATTTCAACATCCCCCTTGCATTTTATGAAGAGACTGACTAGAACTTTGAATGAGTATGAAATTTCGGATGGCAAAGAGGAGTGTGGCATTTGGGCAGGGTTTGGTGAGTTGCCTGCAAGTTGCTAACCTCAGTCTCCCAGAATAAACCAGGTTAAAAGCGTGTGTGAAAAGCCGGCTGCTGCTGAGATTTGCAGTTGGTTTCGCAAACTTGTAACGCACTGTTTCTCAACCTCAGGAACTTGAAGCCGTGTGGACTTCAATTCTCAGAATGGAATTGGAATGGCTGGCTGGCTGGGGAATTCTGGGAATTGAAGTCCACACAGCTTCACGTTCCTCAGGTTGACAAACACCGCTGTAATGCTCCTAGCAGGATGTCCAAAATTATGGTTATGGGGGGTGGGGGGAATGGCCGTTTTCAGACAGGACGTTCTGTCTAAGATACCCGTCAAGAGAAAAACCTTCATTTAAGCCATTGATTTTAGTCAGCTCGCTGGTTCTCATTTATGTTCTTCGCTACCGACAGGGACATTTTTATGGATTGACACTTATTGATTGGCACAGCTATTAAGGCAGGTTGATCTGCAATTAAAGAATCCTTCTGTAAAAGATAAGAGCACATTTTCCCATCCCCGCTGTCTTTGGAGGGCATGACGTAGCTAAATATATTATTTGGTCCCGTATAAAGAAATGAATCCAGCAGGGTTTTTTTAAATTGCTTTTTCACTTCATTTCATTTTTTTTCCGGCCTTCCATTTCTTTTGAAGAAAAAAGGGAGGCCTTGAATCACACTTTTAAAATATTTATTTTCAAATAAAACCGTATGGATTCGCCGTGCTGCATTTAGTTTAGGTTCATTGGTTCAAATCTCAGTTCAGCTTCATTTATTGGCATATTCAAGAAGTCCTCAAGTTACGGCCACAATTGAGCTCAACATTTCTGTGAGGACTGGAGGCTAAAACATATAAGGAACGGGAGCTGGAATTGGGTATGTCTGGTTTAATGAAGAGAAGGACGAGGGGGGACATGATAGCAGTG